CACTTCGGCTAGCTACTCCAAGTGGCCAAATAGCGTAAACGCTCGATTCTGCATCGTAGTCAGTGTGCTTTTTGATATCTATCTTTCCTCTTTTAGGAGCACGATGCTGTGATGGCTTTCGGAGGTACGCGTCCGGCGACGCGCTCCCGCTGACCGCCCGACAGCTGCTGGCCACCGCCCTGGCCGCAGGGCGTGTCGAGGCCCTCGGGCAGCGAGGCGATGAAGGTCCAGGCGTTGGCGGCGCGGCAGGCTTGTTCGATCTGGGCGTCTGTCGTTGCTGGCGCGGGACCTGGCGATGCAGACGCAGACGATGACGACGGTGCCTCCGGAAGGCCGTGGGCTATGTTCTCGCGGATCGTGCCTGGGAAGAGCGTCGGCTCTTGCTGCACGAGGGCGACGTTTTGGCGGTAGAGGGCTGGGTTCAGGGCTGGGAGCGGGTGGGCGCCGTCGACGGTGATGGTGCCTGATGTCGGGTCGTAGAAGCGGCCCAGGAGGGAGATGAGGGTGCTTTTGCCGCAGCCGGAGGCGCCCACGAAGGCGACGAATTCGCCGGGGTTGATCTGTTTGGGCTTGTTAGGCATCGTGTAGGTTCGGATGGGGGAAAAGGGGCGAAAACAAGCGTACGGTAAGAGAAACGCCGTGGAGGATGCGAATGTCGGGGGCTGTGGGATAGGAGAACCTGATCTTCTCGAGCTCGAAGGATTTGCAGCCTTCTGCCGGTGCCATGTCGCGGTTGCTGTCCGTCTCGCGGATCATGGGCTCGAGGTCTCGCAGCCAGAAGTAGTAGTTGGCGGCCTGGATGGCCTTGGAGAAACCTGCAGACGTGATCAGCCGTGTGTTGTTGTCAGGGATTTGCGGCCTGGATGGAAAGGTGACCGCTTACTGCTTGAGAAGCTGAACATTTGTCCGGCGCCTTGACCTGAAAAGTATACGGCCATGAACGAGGCAATGAACTGGTAGAAGGTGACCTTTTCCTCAAAGATGAGCTTTGATCCCCACCTAGACAGTCGTCACGTCAGCACAAACGCGCACCATGCAGGAAGCATCATGCCCGGAGATGGACAGGACGGCGTACCAGAAGCCCAGACTCAGGATGAAATACTCGATCGACTGCGTGAGCGCAAACCAAATCATCATGTTGAACAGCCCCGGCAGCGCCTTATGGATGGCCGCATCAAGCTCCTCAGCATACTGTGCGAGAACTCTCTGCTCGATGGCGAGCGACGAGACCGTCCGGATGGCTGTCGTTGTCTCCGATGCCACCGAGGAGCTAGCAGCGTACCGCTTGCCCATGTCTGCGTCGATCTTGGCCTCGAGGCGAACCCGAGCATAGCCCGCGACGAGCATCGGTGGGAGCCCGACAAAGACACCAATGACGGCGACGCGCCACGAGATGGCCAGCGCGAGGATGGCACTGATGAGGACGTTGATGCCGGCAATGGTGATGAGACCGACATTCATGCCCATCAGCTCGAAGATCGACTGCGGGTACGAGTCGAGCTTGCTCATCAGCGACCCGACCGTGTTCTCCGGGCGGTCGAAGAAGCGGAGGTCCTGCTTGAGGATGCAGTCAAAGAGCTCGTGGCGCGTCCGCCGGGTGAGGACTTGGCCGATCATGTTGCACGCCCAGCCCATGACGAAATAGGCCACGAAGCAGCCGAGGCCCATGACGAAGAACATGAGGGCGAAGAAGTTGCCCCGCGAGACCATGTTGGGCGACGAGGCCGTGTCGAGAACCTGCGCCAGCAAGATGGCTTGGCCGGGAAAGATGGCGGCTGTTTCGTCAGGTCAGCGGCCTTCAAGACAGAGAGATCTGATCTCGTGGTGTACGTACCTCCTGCCACGCAGGTCACAAGAGTCAAGATGTACCATGCACGCAGCTCAGGGGTGAGCTTGACCAGCTTGGCGATGGTTCGGAAGAACCCGAGGGGCTTGTACGACTCGATATCTTCGCGCGCCTGCAGAGCCGCGAGCTCTGACGTCTCTCGCGTGTGCGTCTTGGTGAGGGCCAACCTCGGCTCAAGGTCACAGTCGGCACTGTCGTCTTCGACCGCCGTCTTGTTCGACGCGGCATCGCTGGAAGGTGCCAGGTCCTGGGCGCGGACCAGCTTTTCGTAGAGACCGCCTTGGCTGCAGAGCTGCTCGTGGGTGCCCTGTTCGGCGATGCGGCCGTGGGACATGACGACAATGTTGTCGGCGTCGCGGATCGTGGCGAGCTTGTGCGCGATTGTAATGGTGGTGCGGTTCCTCGCGGCGTTGTCGAGGGCTTTCTGGACGATGCCTTCGGCCTGCGGGTCGAGCGCGCTCGTGGCTTCGTCGAGAAGCAGAATCTTGGGTTCCGAGATGATGCTCCGTGCGATGGCAATCCTCTGCTTCTGACCGCCCGAGAGAAGACTACCTCTTTGTCCGATGGGGGTGTCATAGCCCTGGGCTAGGTCGCTGATGAAGTCGTGTGCGAAGGCCAGCTCGGCGGCGTTCTGTACTCGTCGCTTCTTCTCTTCGGTCGAGGCATCTTCCCAGGCTGTTCCGATGAGACCCTTGACTATGTTGTCAAAGACGGTGCCATTGAAGAGAACCGGTTCCTGGAGAAGGTCAGCCAACGCGCCACTGGCCCTTGTCATGGACGACAAGAAGAAGTGCCATGCTCTCTTCGTCGCAGACATGGGTTCCTACCTGTTGTACAAGACGGACATTTGTCCTCAGCCACCTTAGGTTGAGATCGCCGAGGCCAATGCCGTCGAGCGTGATCCTTCCCTGACATGGATCATACCAGCGTTCCAGAAGCCCAATGATGGTGCTTTTTCCAGATCCGCTGGGTCCCTACATCCGTGTCAGGCTCGTGTCGACACGCCACGCTCGGCAATGGCCATGACTTACCACCAGAGCAGTGACTTTGCCAGCCGGAACGCGGAGGGTGAAGTCCTGCAGTACCGTCGCCTCAGGTCTATTGGGATAGGCAAAAGTGACATCCTGGATCTCAATGTTCCCCGAGACGTGGCGAGGCTTCTCGCCATGCTCGCCGAACGGGTCAATCGCAGACTTTCGGTCAATGAGCGTGAAGAGCTCGGCGGCGGCCGTCGCCGCGCGGCCAAAGGCCAGCATGTGAGGTGCAATCGACGTGATCATCATGGCCGCAATGACGATGGAGAAGACAACCCTTATTTGATATCAGTCCGAGAACGCCCGGCGGACCAAAGGCGGTCGGAATACTTACGTGAAGACGACGCCAATGTTGTCAATCTCGCCCCTGTCGACCATGTTGATGCCTTGCCAGAAGGCCAGGCCCATGCCGCAGTACAGCACCGAGTATTCGCCACCAAAGAGGATACCGTAGAGGACGTTCTTTTTCATGCCACGTCTGTACGCATCGTCGAGGAAGTCGGTCTTGTACTTGGCGACGAGGCGGTTCCGCAAGCCAAATGCATGCACGGCACGAATGCCGCCGAGAATGCTCTCGCTGTAGCTGCCGGCCTGGCCGTACACCTGAAGCATTCCCGTCTCCACGATGACGTCCAGCCATGCGACCAGGCCGCTGATCAGGAGGAGGGCCGGGATGATGCAGGAGATGATCAGAGTGAGCTTCCAGTCGGCGATAAAGGCCACAACAAAGGCGGCGATGAACGTTGACATGGCCTGGACGAAGAGACCAAGCTTCTCGGCGGTGCCAGACTGGATGAGCTTGCCGTTTGTCGTTGCCTGCATGGCTATGGAGCCGCTGACTCCCTGGTCGAAGAACGCAATCTCCTGGCCCAAGGCGGCGCGGAGGAACGCGCAGCGGATGTTTCGTGTCATGCGGTGAGCAACATATGTGAAGAGGGACGCGTAGATATAGGTGCCACAGAATCGCGCAATGCCGATATACACGAATCGAAGACTTGAAACGAGAATTGATCAGATCATCGCCAGTCAAGCTGTTAGGGAACAAAAGTACTCACGCTGCCGTCTGTACACGAGACATGAATCCATCTGGAAAGAGCCCGCCGTCCGTGGCATTGCCCAGAATGGTGACAAAGTTGCCCAGAACAACATTGACGAGAGCAAGGGCCACTCCAGAGGTTATGGCAGCGATGATAGCCACCGCCTCGAGGGCATACAGTTGTGCGTCTCCATTTGTGAAGATTCGCTGTGCAGACATGTCAGCATGAGGTTTCCTTCTTGAATGGCTGTCCTCAGGGACGCATACCAGATAGGCTTTGAGGCCTGAAGGAGGAGGAGGCTCTGTATTGGCGTTCGCTTTTGAAGGTTTCTCAGCAACGTTCGCGGCCGTCATATTTCCTTAACAAGTGATGACCAGTGTCTAGGGTAACATTTGCAGTAGAGGTGTGTGAAATGACTATCCCGAGTCTCTGTCGAAACCGTTGCCATGTACGTGAGCAGTGTGGCCCGAACAGTCCCGCTACAGAGCCCGGGGCCAAGACTATATACGGACACATCACTACGTACACAGGCCCGAAGTAATCGGCGTCACCTCCGTGTCAATTCGGGACCGCATCTCGCGGGCTGCGCAGTTGTGAACCCAGTCTGAAGGAGAGACGGAGGGTCCGACAACCGACGTCCTCCCTGATACTTTGTGGTAGATTAGCTAATCAGTCTTGTCAGGTGACGGTCTTTCGGAGGCTCCGACCGCCGTCATCAACGTCAGTCTCGTTGTTCACGGCCTCCGGGGGCCACTTGCTGTCGACCGATGAGTCTTACGCCGGAGAGCAAAGGGTTTGCGCCGCGCAGTCGTCTTTTCGAAAGCTCCGTATTCCGACATCTTGCGACTGGCGCCCTGGGTGTCTCACTCTGCCATGGATGAAGGGGAGGGCAGTGACACGAACCTTGCCGGCGAAGCGGGGAATGAATTATCGCTGGCTGTGAGTCTTATCTTCCGACTATTGGCTAACATGAGTCTTGCTTATGTGACTACGAGGAGGAATAGTGCTGATTTCATGATACCTAGTGCGACCGATGTCGTCGGCGAAAGGTAAGCTCAAGCCTTTGGCGAGGCTACTGTCACGCGGCCCCATGTCGCACTCATGAGCAAGCGGGCCGTTACTCACATACCGTACCTTAGATCAAGTGTAGTAGAGGACATCCATGCCAGAAGTGCTTGGCTGTAGAATCATCCTGCACCTACGAAATGGGCTATAAGCCAAGAATTCGTAGGCAGCGTGTCAGGGTCTCGAATGACTTGTAGCTGCACTCACCCACCCCCACAGGAAACCAGGGGCATAGCTAAGTGTCCACTGCAGAGAGCAAAATGTCGAGCACATCGCGAAGACGGTCGACGACCTGAAGCACATGCTACAGAACCTTCGTCACGAGCATCCGCCAGGTTCAGGCCCAGGTCCCACCCAGCACGGCACTGCCTCAGCTGCCACCTTGTCGCGACCGTCTCTGGCTTCGGCTCAGACTTCTGAGATTAGATCTAGAAGGTCACCGGCAGTGCTTCAGTCAGAGTTCGGCGGCGAGTCTTCCATCTCCGCGCATGCCTTGTTCGCCACGACTTTTCTTCAGAATGTGGTCGGCAACAGCCATTCCCCGAGGGTCACCGTGGAAATGGCACCAGTCATGCAGACCCTAAGCAGCATTGCCGACGTTCAGAACCAGACAGCCGCCTCTTCAGAAACCTTGTTTCCGCACGCCAGGCCGCTGGAGGACGGGAGAAAACCAGTCAACTTCCCTACGCCGGCAGCCGACAAGGTTTTTGGCTGTCTGCGTATGGCTCAAGGTGCGTTTCTGCCGCTACGTCGCCTGGCGCCAGAATCTGACATCAATGGCAGAACATGACATGGTGGAGGCCTTGTGGCTGCCCGAGTTTGAGTCCATGGGCCATTTTACAGAATATGTCATCAAAGTCTGCTCCCTCGGGCCATCGTCTGAAGCAGAGCTCATCATCTTCAACACAGGCATGTTCTGGCTGTTTCTCGAGTGCGCCAGTTTCATGGAAGACGAAGACGAGATGAATGATTATACCGCGCAATCATATCTCTGCCGGGATAACCTTGAAACGCTGCTGGCTCATTTGGGATATCACATACCAAATACCATGGATTACATCTACGCGCTGAATATGGCGGTTAGTCTATCCCGGCAGCATCAAAACAGCCCAAACTTCCCCTCCGTGTTGCTTCCTCCGAGTTTCCTCCCTCCGAGTTTCCTCCCTCCGAAACCTGACTGCTGCTCAAGCACTGACCTGACAGACCACCTACTGTCTCCAAACCATCAAGACGACAGCCGCGTGGTCCTTCATCTCGACGAGTGCACACGCCTGTCAGGCCCTCGGTCTGCACAGCGCCGTCTCGCTCCATCCCGCGTCGCCCGCGCAGCAGGTGAGGAAGCTTCGGCTCTTCTGGGCCGTATATGGGAGCGAAAAGGGGCTTGCCCTGCGTCTGGGCCGCTCCTCCAACATTCGCGACAGTGATATCACCATTCCGCGCCCCAAACAGCCGACAGGGCCCGACTTGCTCATCAACAAACTGACGCCGCTGTGGACGCAAGCAGCGGCCCTGCAGGGCCGGCTCTACGATGAAATCTACAGCCCGGGGGCGTTTCTCCAGCCGCAGCAGGTCCGTTACGAGCGGGCAGGTACGCTGATCGAAGACCTCAAGAGCCTGAGGGAGGCATCCGAGGCACTGGAGGTTCGTTGTTCACCAGAGCACAGCAATCTGATGCATGCTCGGCGTGCTGACCGTGTTCGCTCACAGAAAGAAATCGTCAGCCAGGCAGCGCCCGGCGGCCAATCTCCCCTTTCCGAGCTCTGCTGGCGCGCAGATCGGATCGCGTACCTTTCCATGCTGACGCTGGCCTACCGAAGCCTCCCACCGACGGACCCCTTCATCTCGTCGTTTGCAGCGGGCTGCATCGCCACGGCGCGCCAGGCCCTCGACGAGCATGAGCAGTGCCTCAAAGCCCTGAGCCGGACGCAAACCGCCAAGACGTCGGCTTACATTGTCCTCTTCATCGACTGGCAAGCTACCCCCCTTTCCTACTCTGGTGTCACTGAAACGGTTTCGTTAGTCGCAGTCAACAGGGACAGCTAACGTTGGAGATACCAGGTCCCTCCTGCAAACCCCCTTCGTGCCCTTCACCATCCTGTTCTGCCACGCCATCGAAACGGCAAGCAGGGCAGACCTCCAGGTCCTGCGCAGCTTCCTCGACACCCTCGAGGGCACGGCCTACTCGTCGCGCCACCTCTCGACCCAGAACCAGCTGCGCCTCTTCCAGGCCCTCTACAGCGTCGCCGTGCGCTACATCTCGGTCCAGGAGAGCAGTTCCCTGCTGGCGGGCGCCTGGAGCACGGGAGGCGACGGGGAGGCGCCCGCGGGTCAGGCGTCGGCGCACTTTTCGAGTCAGAGCATGGCGTCGGCGCAGGCGGCCGAGGATCAGTTCATGGCGAACCTAGGGCTGCAGGTTGACTCGTCGGGCAATCCTCTGGCGAGCTGGTTTGCGAGGAATCAGCAGCTGATGAGGATACTGGAAAACTCATGACGTGACACGTGAAAGAGCAAACGGGTATCATGGGTGGTGGAGAAGAGAGCATGTGGAAGATGACTGAAAATAATGGCTCAAGACGTTTTGAGTATTCTTGTTCAGGTTTCGATGATCGATCAACCAACGCTATTCTCTATCTATAATGCCCTGTAAATCATTCGAAAAACCGGATAATATCACAATGGCTCATATAACACGGGGTGTTTCGTGATTTGGCTTGGGTTGCATTCAAATCCTGCCCAGTTCGTCAGGGTTAATACCAGGAGACGCGCGCAAGACGCGCCAAAATAGTGCAACCGAGAGCCTCCTCAAGGCAAAAACTTATCGCGTCCCAAGATATCATCAACGTCGTATAGGTATATTGAATTGAATTCGCGTCACTGTGCGTGGCATGTCAGATCACTTCACGTCATGATCGGCTACACATCACGCAGGGAGACCCAGAACCTCCTCACACGGGATCGCATCACCATCAAAAAGGCTGGACCACAACCGTCGAAGAACAGGGAATTGAACACGCGGGCGCGCCCTCGCGAGGCGGCGGCAGAGCCTGAAACTTACTCCCTTCTCTATCCCTTCTCAGATGCAGATGGGGCTCATGACCGTCCCGAAACCAAACGTGCAGAGCACGTAGCCCGCTCATGGCCCTCCCTTACATCCCGCCGCCATCCACAACCTGTCACATATCAGTACGCAGTGGACACAACCGTCCCGTCGGAAGCGGACATGACCCCGTACGTGAAAGAGCGACAAGAGACAGCAGCCTCGGCACACTCTAGCCAACCGCCACCTCGAACAGGGCATGACAGGTAGGCTCGCTCTCTCACCCCCCTCAAGGACAATGGGCGGGCAGAGAGGTCGCCTCTCCCTCCGCCGAGCTGAGCCGCCGGACTCGCCGGACGTCCTCCACACACGCCTTCTGAGACCGCCGATCAGCGAAGATTCCCGCGCCCGGCCACAGATGGGGCGCGTTCCCGTCAGGCTCCTCTTCTTCCTCCCACCCCCTCCTTGGCTGTGCCGCCTATCTATCTGCCTTGCCCCCCAAAGCAGAACTGGTTCGCATGGAACACCGAGACAGGCACGAAAAAAACCCAGGGTGCAGAGCTACGTCGACGAAAGCTGAAAGAGAGACGCGCACACGCAGGTGCACATACCTCCCTCCTTCCCTTCCCGGCCGAGTTGACTAGGAAAGATCGACGTGATCTGGCCCATCGGGGTTTTTATTTCATTCGCTTGTTGATTTTCCAGGGGGGGGCCATCCAAAGGGGGACCGCGTTTTTTTTTTTTTTCACAAATCCGCCCCCTTTGTGGGCCGGGGGGGGGGGGGGGGGGAGGGGGAATAAGAATGGGGAAGAGAGAGAGGGGCCCTTAGGCATGTCAGCGAACTGAGGGAAGCATGGAGGCAAAAAGAAGACAGGTTCTAGTCTAGTTGGTGATCTGGCATGCGAGAGACACCAGAACGAGGGACGCAGATGGCGGATTTGTGATATGTGACCAGACGGCAGAGACGCACGTTTTGTCGGTTCGTCTGTCCGTCGTAATTATAAGGGCCACCTCCGGCGGTGCTGTCCAGGCGAACCAACGCAGCCCGGCGCAGACCAGGTCGGCGGGTTACCGCTGTCGCGTCGCACAAGGGTGACGGAGCGCTGGGTGCTTCTTGTGGGTTTTTTCCCTCACACTCTTTCGCTTTCGCTGGTTCGCTGGTACGCTGGTTCCCTAGGAATGGGCGCGTTCACTGCTTGCTTTTGCCGTCGTTCGCAGATGCACTGCCCTTTGCGGCGATCGCTGTGCCCTCCTCCATCTCTCGTTCCCCCCAAATCTCCAATCACTCCAGCGGCGGTTCCCGAAGAGTGATTGTGCGAGCGAACCCCTGCCGTGTCCTCTGATGAAGCTCGCTTCTCAGCTCCCAAACGCGTACATCTACTTGTATCTGCGTCCAATCTGGAGCACATCGTGATGAGCAATGGGCTTTTTTTTTCTGCCCACCCTTGCGCTCATGTCACGTCACACTCGTACTTGATGTACATGGTAGGCACGTCTTTCAGCTCAGGGAGGTAGGGAGGTTGGCACATGGACCAAGTGCTTCTTCCCACCGTGAACCCCCCCTCCCACCGTCCGCCGAAACCTTCGACTCGTATGGGTAAAGCCCGTCCCGGCGAGCAGTCCGAGCGGGCCAGGTCGCTTGTTTCCTTTGCGCGGGGCCTTTTGCGTCTGGTACCGCGCACCACGTAAGAAATGCCATCCTCCACGGTGGAGCCATGGGTCTGTCAACCAACCCAGACCCATCCGAAAAACATCGGAATCGAACTGAGGTCAGGCGCCAGGCCGGTTCGGGCAGAGGCAGTCCAGTCCTTCCAGCGACAGCGAACAGTCTGTACTCGTGGTTCTGGTTCTGCTGAGAAATAAGGAAGCGGAACCAAGTAGAGCGCGAACGTAAACGCACAGCACCGCATTGTACCGTGCTTTCCCTTCCCTTCAGCTCCATGTACACATACAGCAAGGTTTTCTGTGCATCAGACGGGACGTGCGGCCTCGCCTGGAACCGATTTTCACCGCGAACACGAAAATCACCCCCCTCCCCCTGGCCTCTCTGAGAGAAGGGGGGGGGGGGGGGGGGGCTCCAAGCTCTCACTGAGACCTGCATGGCATGGGCCAAACATCCTCCCCTCCCCGGCCCCTTCTTTCTGAAGGGCTATCTTATTGCCCTGGCCCATGTCTGTCCGTGTCCGCGTCGAGGGTGACAATGATGCAGAGGTGCTGGAAGGCCAAGCGCAGCCGCGAGTATCGCGGGCACGGCATCCAGATAGCGAGAACAAGTGGCAGGTGGTCAGGGAGCTGGCTAAAAAAGTGCCCTCCTTTCACTTGCAGGCATGGGGCCCTGGGACCACAGCTGCATCAAGCGGGAACTTGTTAACTGTCGAGACACGGAGGTGGTGGTGGGTGCCAACCGTGGCAAGTCTGTCTCCTGTCAGAAGGTCCAGCTAACCCACGCCGCCCCGCCCCATCAGAAGCAAGCAATAGGTGCGAGGCAGTCTAACAGGTGAAATGGCCAGTTCCATGGCGCAGAGCTAGCGCAGTCGCGGGTCTAGTCCAGGAACGACGCAGCACACACACACACACTGCAGAGGCTGATGGGGAACCAGAACCGCATTCTGAGAGCGCGTCCTAGGGATGGTTCTCTTGTGCCGAGGAAATCTGTCGCCAGTTCACAAAAGAGCCCGCTTTGAGGCTGGCCGTCCAATCCGAAGAGATGAGCAGTTACGTCTGTGGCGCGGAACAGAATTTTGGCCTGATACCGACGACCAGTCAGATACGAATGCTGGGGGAGGGGAGAGAAGAGATCCTTGAGCAGAGGGGGGGGGGGTTTGTGGATAGAAGGGCAGCAGAAACTCAGAAGTAGAGGGGGCCAAGGGCTCGGTCTACCTGAGCTGAACCATGGACAACTGACACTACCATTTGCAGCTTGGAGCAAACAGGCAGGCAGACAGACATGTAAACCCTGTGCGAAAAGGAACAGCAGGTATCTGCCCTCATAATAAATAGGGCGTAGACGTAGCGCAGCAGTCCTATCCAGGTGCGTGCCCGGCGACAGCACGGAGTTGTTAGTTTATGTGAGGGGTGTCTCTCCTGGTGTGTCTGGTCTGAACCGAGGACTGGAGAGAGAGGCGGAGACAGAGAGAGCGCTCCCAGTGGCTGGGGCTTTGAGTGAAACCCTGCTGATGATCGACGTGCCGTGCGCGCTGCTGAGGCTTGTCACTTGGGTTGTGGTTCCCCTTGTCTGCCGCCAAATCCCGCTTTGCCGGTCCAGTTTCGTGGCCTAGCCACAGCTCATTTATACCATGTATGCACCACAAGGTTCAAATGCCATGCCGCCGACCCAATCGAGGGGATTCGAGGTCGCGCTATGGGTTCCTGGTCTCACACAAAAGCGTTGTGCCGGTGTGCCAGCGCGCCAATCCAGCCATCTTTGGCATGCCGTCAACTTCATGTCTGACGGCGAGTGATGTGTCACAAGGATTAGCCACGCCAAAGGGGCACCAATGCCCCGCAGGCGTGCGTTAACCTGATCGCTGGGCTTCATAGGAATGTTTTGGGCGTTTGGGCGTTTGGGCATTTTAATATCTTCTCCCCCACAAGGCTTCGAGGCTCCAAGCTAGAACAACATGGGCTCCTGAACCTGCCGTAGAGAAGTCAACTGCTAGCCATTCGTTGCTTTGGCTGCTGTCGTCATCTTAGTGCCGGCACATTCGACTGTCGACAGTTTCGCGCCCCGGTTTGTGAGACCAGTCGACAATCCTTGACCACACATCCGCCTCGTCTGATGGACAGTCTGTGCATCGTATCGGACATCGCACCTTGCGGTCCACAGCTCAAGGTCGGACTGGGTGATGCGCATTTGGGACCAGGGAGCAACCCTTCATCTAAGTCGTGTCCTGTAGCATCGTTTCTTCCCTTCCTCGGTACGGAAATTACCCAGCGGCACGCGGCTGGACAGCTGAAAATACTGAACCTTGTCGCCCCATTGTATGAAATTTGTCGATTGCCGAGCCCGAACAGAACAAGGTTCTGAGAGGCCCTCGTGTGAAAGTATGAAATCCTTCCAGATTGTCCCTTTTCATGTGGGTTGCCCATGTGGTACGTACGAAGCATCCCTCGAGGAAATTTGGATCCGCACCTTGGAATAGTGAGGCCTGCAGCTGCCTACCCGTAACGGCACACGCAGATGAGCCATATGCCGTTTCCTCCTAGGGCATCGCGTCGTGTCTGGTGCTGGGAGCGGCAGGTGGAGAAGGCCTTTCAATAGAATACCCAAGACACGAGTTGGCACTCGTTGGATACCCCTCGATCTGTTAATAGCAAGAATCAACGGCATTTGTATTCTTTAGCGTTATGAGGGAGTCCAGGGCTGCGAAGTCCCCACCAGGATACTGGCTTAACATCCGGCCGAAGTATTTTGCACTTGGCCATCTTGGTGTTGGTCAAGGAGGTCGTCTCAATCTAGTCACTAAATAGCGTGTGTATGGGGGGGAAGGCAGGAGGGGGTTCGGAAGGCGATTCTCAACTGGCGCAACGCTGATCCGTCTATGGGCCCAGAGATCCGCTGGCTCCAGAGATCTAGTGACCACAACCCGCGCCCGCACTAGCTCTGTCAAGGGACTGCAGGCACATGGCGAGAATGAATGGGACGAGGGCGTCGAAATCGTGCAATTCGAGCAGCGCAGACCTTCGGTGTCTGTAGGGATGGCTAAAGCCGTTTTTGCGGAGTCGAGACTGTGATATATGGTCTGCAGGGCAGTGCTGAAGACACAAGCGCGCCCTCCGCCCCAGCCACTACATCTGAAGTCAATGGCGGATCATGTACAGCTTCTACCCGACATGGTGGCGGCCATGAGGGTGCAAGACATCATGGCGTTTGTGGATATCTCGGGTGGTCTAGTTGTCCAGGCTGCCCGCAAATCAAGTCGACTGATTCATGGGCAGACGAGGTGGGGTTCTCGCGGAACACATCCGGCTGCCACTACGGGTGCATTGAAAGGAACAGATGGTGTTAGAGACAGACGTATCTCGTCGGCACCAAGCAGTTCCTGATTCGGAGAGCCTAGAACTTTGCACAGCATCTTTGCTCGTCACAGAAGATAGCTGCGTGAAAGCCTGTTTCCTCGCCTGTGCTGGACCGCTGGAGCTCGAAATGCTGTGCTCACAAATCCTACCCTTTGGTAGCTTCAGCATGTGCAGATGAACACCCAGCCTCGTCTTGGTTTTTTCCTACTCGGCGACCAAGAGCGATGGCTGTCTTTTGTATTTGGGCGGCTTGAAGTTGACCAACTTGACTGAGGGGAGCCGTCTGGCCCTGGCTGGATACGCGCTAATTACCCCACAATGCTCGTTGAGGTCGCAGAGCCAGCTCGTCATGTGCTCCTCTGTCTTGGGTACCCAGTCAGCTAAATGACGGAGGGCTGGTTTTACCGAAAGGGGGGGCTGGGAGGGGGTTTACTTCGGAGATTCGACGGGGGTGCCGGAAATGCTGGCTCGACGACAGCGAGTTGTCGGAAGTGCCTCCGACCTCCGCTACGAGTTGGAGGTCCAGGCGTCCGTTGCCAGACCCGAGAGACAACATCTGCGTGGGCCGTAACTGATCTGGGACTAGACTGTTGCTCGGGATGCGCACTTTCCACTGAGGATGAGCCAGTGCTGGTTGAGAACATG